TACTCGTGGCAACTGCCTAGACAAGCCCCTGCAGTTTTCTTGGCAAGGTTTTTCAGAAGTGGTTTGCCGTTGCCTCCTTCCTAGGGCTGAGAGAGAGTGGCCCAAGGTCACCCAGCCGGCTTTCATGCCTAAGGCGGGACTAGAACTCACAGTCTCCCAGTTTCTAGCCTGGTGCCTTAACCACTACGTCAAACTGGCTCTCTGATTTTCTCCACACAATGCATTAAATAAAAGGTGTCCCATAAATATAATGCTAAGTGATACATACATATATTTTTCTTCCATGCACTCGATTTTATAATGAGCTATAAATCAGCTAGCTGTCCTTAGTATAGAAGCTACTTACAACTGAGTTGTAAGGAATGAGCTAACATAGTTTAACAGATAAATATGGAATGTGAATTTCATAAAAGTAAATTCAACACCAATCCAAAAAGACTTACGCCTATTAAAAAGGATTTCCCTTCACTCTTACTTGCATTCCATGTGTGTGCCTCAAATCTGATACAGACTTGCCTTCCAGAGTAGGTTTAGAAGGACCGCATCATCAGGAGGAGGGCAAGTAGAATATTATGTATTGATAGATGCTAACTTTGTCAGCAGATAGCTTTAGTTCACTAATGTATGGGAAATGCCTCTAAGGCTTAAATCATTTTAGATATTATTTCAGTTATAAATATAAAAAAATACAGTGCCTTTGATTTACCTGGAAATCAAAGCTGACCTCTTGTGGTTTTCTGTTGAATACCAAATATGTGTTCTTACGACATGCTATAACATGTTTGGTACTAACTATGGGTAAGTCAGTTATCTACCTGTTATTTCAGCACCAGTGACACTGCAAATCATACTAGTCATAAATTGCTGATTAACATTTATGTTGACTGGTATCCTGGCCTCCTAGTCAGTTGATATTTCTTGGTGTTTTAAGTACATTTCTGTAAAAATGTTTTTAAAAATCCATGGTAGGCCAATCAGGGTTGGAATTACCAGAGACTTGGGTAGGTGGGGGAAGCTCTACCTCCTCCAACTTTGCTTCAACCCACACAGGAGATAGTTAAAAAAAAAAAAGAAGAAGAAAGCAGCAGAGACCAGAGGATGGGAACAGGATTAAGTATAGATCAACCCCCTTTCCAATTTTGGTTGATACACTCAACTGTCGTTCAAAGGAATAAACCAGTGATGAGCTTTGATCACAAATTATAGTAAAAATACTTCTTCTGAACCAAATTTAACATGTGGTCCAGAATCAGACATTCCATTGACCTAATATACGTTTGGATATTATATGAACTAGGTCATATTTTGTGGTAAACCTAGGTTTGTTTACTAATGTCATATGAAACAATAATTGACATTCTCTAGTATTATTTCAAAATAGCTAAATTAAAACTATATATTTATCTTTTTAGCTAATTTGAAATTATTGTTTTTCTTATAGAACAAAGAATTTTGAGTCTAGTAAAGAATACAAGAAAACTTGGGGTGAGAACATTGAGAATTCAGGTGATCACGTAGTATCTACACAACCCGGACGGGCAGGAAATTACCAACAACAGACCTCAGGAGGACCAGGTGGAGGATACATAACACGGTAAATAGTCTCTTTTTCCTTCACTGCTGAATACATACTCAGTATCTGTTCCTCTGCAACAGTACTGGGGTATTTAAAAACCACCAGGAGAATCTTATTTTATGTAAGCCATGAATGGTTATTCTGAACAATGTTTAGTAACTTTTCAAAGATTCCAAATAATAAGATCACTTTCTAAGTCAAATTTTCTAACAAGATTGGTAGAATTTTTAAAGGTATTTATAAAAGCATAGGCTTATTTTTAAACTTGTTCAAAAATTGCCAGTTAGATATATTTTGAGACTGAAGTTATGAAATGTTTGTGTGAGATAGGGTTAGACTTAGGGCTATTTATGACTGTTTACTTAATTTTAACTTGTGTTTATGGTTTTAGTATTTTTATAATTGTTCTCATTTAACTGATGGTGTTTTCATTTCTATTGTGAACTGCCTTAGGGCAGTTTGACAGGTGTGAGCAGATAGACAGACAGACAGACATACACCACTGATGAAAATCTGATTTCTTAGAATGAAGAAGGAGCTTGCAAATACTCAAGATAGATTTCTTTTGATATTTTGAAAAGGGTAACAAATGATGCCAGAGAAGATGAGATGGAGGAAAACTTAACTCAGGTGGGACACATCTTGGGAAATCTGAAAAATATGGCCTTGGATATGGGCAGTGAGATCGATTCACAAAACAGGCAGATAGACCGGATAAACGAGAAGGTAAGAAGTGAGAACTGGATCCTTGCAACCTTAATTATCAGAGACTTAATTGCTGAGATGAGTAGCTAACTGTTCTGGAGTACAGTACCATGTCGGAGATATTCCAATTTAGCAACATATCCTGTCCTTACTCTCTTGTCTGGATAACATTCTTCCACCCAAAGCATTATTTTTCTATCTAGGATATATTTAAACCTGATTTCATGGTGGACACTTTGTCAGTACTTCTCCACCAGAATTCATGGCTGGATGTTTTGGAACCTGAAATAATATTTCTGTCATGGCACAGTGTGAAAAATAAAATAAATACCAATACCAAGAAATATTGCAGTATTGGGAATGGGAAACACATTTGAAGAGTATGTTGTAGGTGCTTTCTGATTGTGGCTGTCAATTCATAAAATGGTTTCCAATAACAAAACACCAATTTCCAGGAAGGCAAACTGATGTTGCTTTTTTAAAAAAGCAATTTGCCCAAGAACCTAAGTGCACGATAAATGTGGAATCTGATGCAAACTTACATATTTGTCCCCCCAAAACACAACAAAATAGCCAGGCAAACTGGTGAAGCCCCAAAAAATATGCTTGTGTTGGTGAATTGTTCCTTTCAACCCATACACAAGACAAAACAAGTACGCTATGTATACCCTGAAAGTGTACATCACATTGAGCTAGAGACCAGATCCTGGGTGGTGATTAAGAGCAGATTTGAAGTTGTTCTATTCTGACTCTGCTTTCACAAAGTTCTGCACTTGTTTCTCTGAAACACTGGACTTCTGTGAAGGGTAATCCAGTGTCAGTAACAAAAAAGTCTTGTTTACATAAAATGCCATGACAGAAATAGGAGGGGGAATGTATATTGCAGTCACTGACTGACTGGTCAACTCTCAAAGTGACCTTTGCAATCAGAGCACGATTGGCTGGCCTGATCACAGATAAGTGTTTGTTTTTTTAAAACCACATCAATTATCTTAATCCTCTTTCCTGTTTTTCTGGGTGCCTTTAATTAATTAAAAATCTTTTTAAAATGCAGGTAGGGTACAGAACCTGGCAGGTTATGGATTTAATAATTATCTTACGTTCTTGCTTTACATGTTGCAGTGACGTATTCAGATTAGAAAGGTATGGAATGAATGCCTTGAATATCTGAGATTTAGTATCCAAATGTGATAAGATGATTGAAAGAGTAAACATCTTTGTCATTAAAGGGAAGTTGGTATTGGGTCATACCAGTTTTAAAGCATAAATTTAGAGAAAATGAGGTATAAATCAGGGTGGACTGATTTAAAGCAAGTTTAAAAAAAAACATTTTAAATAATTAATTTTAAAGTTTACCACTAATGGGTCTTCATATAATTCATGAATAGTAAGATGAATATACTGCCAAGGTTGCTATTTTTATTTCAAACAATACCGATAAAATTAGAGAAGAAATTATTTGAGGATCTTAATAAAATCGTGTTGAAATTTGTCTGGCAGGGAAAAAAGGCAAGAATAAATTTGAAAATGTTACAAGATGCACAAAGTAGGGGAGGTCTTGGTCTGCCGGACTGGAATTATACTATCAAGCAGCAGGGTTAGTTTGGATAAAAGAATGGATAGAACTAAGAAATGTAAGACTATTAAC